CCCCTTGCTTATTTGCGTCCCCTAGCAGTCAGGTCGTAACATACCTGTCCCTAACCGGGGCTGCCCCTGGTCCATCGAGGTTCAGGGGAGCGAGGCGGCATGTGGCGGTGGCTAATTCAATGCGTCCGTCCGGGAAACACCGGCTCAGCCCAGGCAACTGTGGCAGCTCCGGACCGATTTCTGCGCTCCCTCGCCGCGGGATTTCCAGTCCCGTGGGGCCACCGGTCACTGCCGTGGGCCGGGGGAGGACGGCTCGGCCGCGGCGGGGGGATGCTCTGCGTGGGGAGMGGGGCACGGCGCGCCCGGGCGCGGAGAGGAGCGGAGCGGTGGGCAAGGGGAACCGAGGCCGCGGCCATGGAACTGGAACAGGGCTGCCGGTCACCTCTGGGAAGGAGTTTGCCCCCCTGGGAGAGGAACTGGCCTTGGGGAGTTGCGGGTTTCTGCTCGTACCTTGGACGTAAAAAAAACCGAGGTGGAAAGAAATCAAGAGCTTCGTTTTATTTTATTTTAAACAGGTCCGTCTGCAAGGGATGGCTTTTCTTTTTCTTGGTTAAACCAYACAATTTTTCGCTCTATCCCACGAGAATCTATATTTTTGCAGGGTTTTTTCCCCTCGCTCCGCCTCCGATAAGGAAATGAGTCTTGTCTAGACGTCCAGAGCCCCCCTCCTTCTCCGTGGGCAGGGAATGGGTCTCAACTCTGGCCKCCTAATCCTCGCTACGGGCTTCTTCCCCCGCCGGGGCCGAAATGGGGAGACAGGGATCAGGAAACCCGATTGCGGAAAGGGTGAGAGCCCAGATTCCCTGGGCTGCTTTGCCGTCTCTGACCATGGCCTTCTAGGGCGACGGGGCGGCTTCCAGAGATCAGGGGGTGGCGGGGGAACAGACTATCACCCCAACGCTCTTGATGCCTCTCTGTCTTCCCAACCAAGTGTAYGCATTTAATAACGGCCGTGCGCTCCTCCCGGGAGATGCGAACCGGAGCAGCCAGTCCCCGCCGCACCCCGGCACGGAGCGTCTGTCACCGRTACACCGACCCCCTCCCGAGAGCAGAGTCACCAACCCCGCTGCTCCTCACCASGGCAGTTGCCTCGTTTGAACGCGTTCCAATTAAATCCCTCCTTATTGTTTATCCGTATATAAAGAACATGCAATCTACACTGCAGTTTGTTTTCAATCTACCAAATCCATGTTTGTCGCTGGTGTCACCCTGCTGTGGCAGAGCCATTTCATTAGACTTCGTTATTCTTTCAAAGTACTTTTTTTCCCACCTTCCTTTGCCTAAAAAGCTCCTTACACTCTTGTGCACCAGCGAAAAGCAGCGTGCGGTACTCGCTGCACACGTCGTCGCGCTCTTTCGGTTCCCAGCTTTAACCAGGATTAGGTCTCAGTTTCGCCGTCAAGTCTCAAAGAGGGAGCTTGCAGCTCCCCTCTAAATCGTCTCTCTGACCCCTAAAAAGCCAAGGAGAAAACGTGATCCCGTGAAAATCATGAATACCATTTCTTCCCGGCCCTTTCCTCACCTAGACAAAATCACGACGGGAACGGCTCACGAGGGACAGAAAACCCGCAGAAATCTGCCGGGCAGCCTAGGGTCCAGAGGGATGGTTTTTTTTTGCCTTCTCTTGGTGACAAGAGCTCCGATCTTGCGCATTTCTGCGCGGCCGCGCAGGCCCGCCGGCGGGCGGGGTGTGCGGAGAGGGGCGCAGAGCGAGCGGGGAGCCGCGCTCAGGTTTTAAGMGGCTCTTTCGCGCAGTGGTGAGGGGCCGTTGCCCTTTTACTCTTTTTTTTTTTATTATTCTCGCCGAAGCCCCCCCGCCGCACACTCCACGCCGCGGACACAACCCTGCAGGCAGCCCCGCTGTGGCACCCGTGGGGCTGCGCCCCGAAAACGGGCGCGGAACGGACCCGAGGTGACACCCGCTCTTCTCCCGGCTGTCCCTTGGGATAACCTGACAGTTGCATCCCATCCCTCCTCCCCCGTTACTTCCCCGTCTGCCCCCGGATCCGTCGCCTGTGCGGAGGACAAGGACCGCTCTTCCCTTTAATTTGGAGCCTACGGGAGTGGGTGCCGCTGCCGACACCCTCCCTGCCGCCGTCCCACCCTGACCGCTGCTGGCCCGGTGCTGCCCGGAGTCTGTGTGTGACCCTCCAGCCCGCACCCCCTCTCCAAGGTAACCTACGGCGCTGCTTTGGGCTTGATCTTACTCCTGCCTCGGGAGGGAAGAGTTAAAATCTTTTACTCTTTCTTATTTTTCACCCTTGTAGACGAAAACAGCTTGTCCAGTGTAAAGAATGGTGTTTATTCCCTCGGGCAGGGTCTCAAGCTCRCCCGTTCGTGCCTTGCGAGCGCACCGCTACTTTACAAAGCGATGGCTACAGCGCTTCCCGGCGCGGCTCGGGCTCTGCTCCGCTTGCACCTCACGCGATTATCAGGTCTGCTTTCAGGAGCTTTTTTCCTCTGCTTCAAATAATTATAATGCTCTGTCCGCCGGATTCCTCCTCTCTTTGCCCTCYCCGATTTCGGAGCAGCCCCCGCTGCCACTGCTCTTGCTGCGGCAGAGACATCGCTCCCCTGCCGCCGCTCCACGCTCTCCTCTTCACGAAAAGAGCCGCGCCAGCAGAAGGCAAGGCAGAAGCCCAGGTACCCGAGATCCAATTTCACAACAAAAACATCTCAATGTCACCTACAGCGAGAAGGTGGCTTATTGGAGCAAAATGCGAGGCATTTTAAACCCATTAGGCGTCTCCCAGATGCAAATCCAACGGCGGAAAGAGAAAGGCTCTATTAAGACCCGAGGGCTGACAATTAGATTATAGTCCAATTGCCAGCGGATAATGTGCTAAAAGCTTTCCCATTTAGTGTAACTCCTCGCTGAAAATTATTCACACTTTGCAGGCTG